CTCACCCGCAAGAAGGAAGGCAACCTGCGTCTTTGCATCAACTACCGCACCCTCAACGTAGTCTTTATCAAGAACAAGTACCCGCTGCCTCATATTGAGGAGTTCTTTGACATGCTTGGGGGGGCTAGGGTTTTCAGCAAGCTCGACCTACAATCTAGCTACCATCTGATCCGCCTCACTGAGGAAGACACTCATCATCTTCTTGATCGCTTTGTCATCATCATCCTTGATAAAACCTGTTGGATGTTTTTTTTTTGTTTTTGTTCTTTTTTTGTGTGTTTTTTTTTTTTTTTTTTCACGTCACCCAACCGTCTGCGTTGCATCTGTTGACTGCTATTTGGGATCTAGAGGCTCGTAACACACCTATAAGTCACACTAGGTAGTCCCCACAGGGTCACCTCCAAGGGTCCTCGGGTGCCTAGTATAACCAGCCCCTATCCAAGGGTCCGTGTTTAAGAGGGAATTCCCTTAGTGCGAAGAATGTCGTGTGTTCTAGAGCGTTCCCAGACTTAGTTGCGCAGCGTAGACGACGAATTGGTTCGTGTGCAGAAAAGCTCTTCACGTCAATACGATGATAGAGCAAGTTTATTTCATCACAACGATTCAGAAAATATTCCACTAAAAATGATTGATAAAAAACAAGCACAAGCATACATTTTATATTTCGTCTAACACACACACAAAGGAAAGCATAAAGCAGTTTGAAGGCGAAGCCCTTGATTTTCTGCCACGCTGTACTTGGGAAACAGTTGCTTAATTTCCTAGGATGTTGCCTTCTTCTCCTCTTCTAACACAAGGCGATTCCATTGCTGACTCCTCCCATGAACATTTGCAGCTTCGTGTGGCTCCCATGTGGCTCCCATAAGTCGCACATGAAGTTCATGCGAGTTTACAGCTGTAAAACGGTTTTAACTGTTTGATGACGTGAGCAACCGAATTGTACCTGCGGCGAAAGCATTTTTCAATGGGGGTGTGACGTTCTCGAGAAATTTCGATTTCGCCTCGTTAGAAAAGACAGACTCGATATTCAATTTCCCAGCTAAAATCTTGAGTCAAATCCCGAGCATCCCCCGAAACACACGCTCACCCCTCAGGTGCGCAATCATGCACGACCGACTTTTCTGTCGTGCTGTACAGTGCACAGACGTGCGCTGTACTTCGCGTGACAGGGCGATGCCCTGTCCTGTTGCGATCGTGGGTCCAGCCACGAGCGCACAGTGCCAAGGCACATGGTCGAGCCCTGAGGGGCCACGCACGAAATTTGGGCCCCACGCGCGGTCCAGATTCTCGCGCCCTTTTTCTTTTGACTAGGGCGAAAGTCAACAGCCCAAGTCAAACTATCGATCCCCACAGTAACACCCCACAGTACACCACTCGCTCGCATGAGCCATGCATGAAATATTGCGAACAAATGGGACTTTTATGGGAAGCTCATTTCAGCCTCATTGAAGCTTCATGAGAGCTTTCATTTGAGCGCGTCATGGGAGCCTCATTTGAGCGCTTCATGAGAGCTTCATTTGAGTGCATCATGTGAGCCTCATTTGAGCGCTTCACGAGAACGTGAAAATACGAATGAACATGCACTAACACAAAATGCAATTACAAATGAAAACGAAACACACAAAATGCAAAAACAAATGCGCACAGAACATACACAAAATGCGCACACACAAAATGTAGTATGAAATGCACAACTCCCACACAACAAATTACCTTAAACCAAAACAACCCATTTTCTTTCACCGTCATCGAATAGGCGGTAGGTTGACGTGCAAATTAAGGGTACATTTCGCGCTGGGCTTGTCCCAATCGAAAGTGTCTGAATCGATTCTACCGCACTTCTTCGTATTACACCGAATTACACCCTAGTTTCAAACATTGCTGAAATTTTCGCGTCTCTGGTTTAGTTCGGGTCGGAGCGGTACGCTCGATTGGGACACTTTCTTTGAGAAAGTGTCCAGCGCGGAATGTACCCTAAGTTTTTGCACCCAACAGCATCTTGCATGTTGTGTGAGTGCGCATTTTCCATTCTCATTTTGCGTATGTTCTGTATGCATTTGTCCTTGCATTTTCTGCGTTTCATTTTCATTCGCACTTGCTTTTTGTGTTAGTGCATTTTCATTTGCGTTTTCACTGTTCTCATGAAGCGCTCAAATGAGCCTCTCATGAAGCGCTCAAATGAGCCTCTAATGTCGCGCTCAAATAAAGACCCTATGGAGCGCAAATGAAGATCGCATGAGAATTAAGGCCCTAAGCCCAAATTGTACAACTTTGCTAAAGTTGTCAGTTGGGTGGTAAGGAAGCTCGGTTGGAAAGTCGAGGTGTTGGGTGGTTTGAGGGCTTTGCTTTCGCCCAACTTCTCGCCACTCTCAATTTTTTTCCCTGACTCAACAACACTAGGAGCCACATTATGTTTGGTTGCACGAGCCCCAATTTGCACAGATACTAACCTTGTTAGTTTCCCGCCCCACCCACTCCACCAACATTGTTTCAATTTAGCTGGCCAATCAACTCGCTATTTCAATTTGACTGGCCAATCAGCTACCTTCGTACAACTCGTAACCTCAATTCGCAAAACCAACACCTGCAAAACAACTGTCAATCAACCTTAGTAGGGTTGGCCAGCGCGGTCCGCAATAAGGGCAACGAGCTTTAAATGTTTCACGCAAGAGTCATGCGAGCAACCCATGAAAGTCCCATGAGGCTCATTGTGGTCTCATGCGAGCGAGTGGTGTACCAGGGGGCTCAAAAGTTTGACAGGTCAAGGGGGAACCTTCACTTTTTTTGTGTGTGTTTTGTTTTTGTTTTTGTTTTTTAATTGTTTTTTTTTTTTGTTTTTTTTGTTTTTTTTTTTCGCGCTGATCAAAAGCGTGAAAGTCAAGACCCACGCGTGGGCCCTGGCACGCGCGTGGGCTTGTGAGTGTGCCACGCATTATTGCGAGAGTGTTGTACAGCACGATCGCAACAGAACAGGGCACGCTTCGGCCCTGTCCCGCACTATATATGCGCATGATTGCGATCATGGCGTGCTGTACAGCACGGCAGAAAAAATCTTGGCCATGCGTGTGGCATAAGGGGGGTGCTCAGAATTATAGTTGAAAAGCTGAATCCCGCGCTGGCTCATGGGAATGGCAATTTCTTACAAAAGTCACTTCGCTTTGCGGAATCATTTCGACACAGGTACGAATCGGTTACTCCGTTTTTCAAATGTTAAAAACCGTGTTATAACTGTGAGCTCACATAAACTCATTGGAGCTACATTCGAGTAACATGCGAGCCTCATGAGTGCATGCTTTTGAGTCAGTAGGGGCAGCCTGTTACAAGTACAATCTAATGACAGTTTTCAACAAGAGGAAGATATAGCCAAATGCTCAACTTGCACCTGATGCAGCTCGACATGAGAACGCCTTTCTATAGAGCAAGCTAGATTGGGTGCTCTACATGTACCAGCCATACTATTACGATGACAAAACCGGCCGCGTCTGCAAGTTGGTGAAGAGCTTGTAAGGGCTTAAGCAGTCGTCGCTGTTGTGGTACGTGGCGCTCGACACTGTATTGCCGGCTGGAGCAAGAGCCAAGTCGACGAGGCGCTATATGTCGAGGTCGGTGATGACAGAGTGGCATGAAGGATCGTGCGACATGAATGTTGCCCTCGGCTCCACCTGGCACAGCCATCCCGTACTGTAGTGGTAGGAAGTGGTCACGTGCAGCCTCCCCAATTGTGGTTAGAGCTGCCTTGGCTGCGAGGCGTGTCAGGCACTCGCCAATTGCAATTGGCCGAACCCCCCCCCCCCCCCCGGGTTTGGAGAGCGCGATTAGGCGCGAGGCTGTCAGCAGGTCCCCCACTGGCTCTGGTAATTTGCCTGCCAGGATGGTGTTGACTAGGGCATGCAGGTAGGTGCAGACCGATGCGTTGGTTGCGGATGCGTCGCGCAGGTGTTCGAATGCTGTTCCGGACGGTCCAGCCCCAACACCATTCTCGTACCGACCCAAAAGTTTGGCGAAGTTGGCTTGGCTGATTTGTAGGTTCGGGCCAGGTGTTGATGGCCAGCTCAGCTGCTCGTTGTCGGTTGGCGGGTGTTTCGCGCGGAGGTCGTCCAGAATTGCTGGGCCCGGCGTGCAGACCGGGGTTGACTCGAGGGCCAGCACGGCTCGGCGTAGACTTCCACGCTTTGCCAGGCCCTCCGCCCTGCTAAGTACTTCCGCCTCGTCAGGCTGGTGACGTGGAGCTGGTGGGGTGTTGATGGCTTCGATTGCATCAGAATACAGCGGCTCCCATTCGCCACGCTGGAAAGCTCTGAGACGAGCTTTGACTTCGGGCCACTTCGGTCGTCTTGGCGATGTTTGGCGAAGTGTGAGCCACGGAAGAAATAGAAGAAGTCGCCACCCTGCGACCAAATCCAGATTTCGCGCGAGGTGAAGGAGCGGGGTGAGTAACACCAGTGAAAACAGCTGACATAAATTGGGCGGTAATCGGCGCGACAGGGATGGCTGGCGACTGTCGCATAGGGCCGCCACGTCCCAATCAGGGATGCCTGCGAACAGGTCTGTTCGCTTCGCCAATTCCTCTTGCGAGTAGTATCGGGGGCAATGTGTTTGATTTGCCGTTGCACTGCCGTTGCGCGCGGCTTGATTCCCCTGTGGGCGCCTCGGTGCTCCGTCCTGACCATGGGTTGGAATCGTAGCCGTCCGATTTGCTGGTGGCACTCCTCCTTCCTCGCCCGTCTCATGCTGCGCAGCTTGCCTCCCAGGTCTTAGACTCTCAGCCCCGACGATTTCTTCCTCGTCACTTTTGCTCAGTGGCAGCGGCTCCTCCCTATAAGAAGGATCCCCTCGATCCTCCTCCTCATTAGCCCGTACTATAGCTATTAAAGCCTGTCTCCCTGCCGCCTGGAAGCCGTTCTCCGGTCCACCTCCACTTCCGCTAGCTGCCACTCTCCCTCTGCCTCGTCCTCCTCGGCCCCTCGATGGTGATTGCTGGGCCGACCGACTATTCGCCAATGCGCGCTGGCGCTACGTCGGTTGTGTACGAAAGGCCACCGCCTGCCTCCGGAATGGGGACCATGGCGACGAGCCCCCCAACGCTGCCTGCTCCGAAGCCCGTGACAGAAGACGCTGGAAACATTCTTCGCCCCGCACCGTCGTTTCGCGAGGCGCTGGCGTCTCAGCCTGGCGACGGTGGTCGCCAGGCTCCTGTGCTGTCAGCGCCTCTTCCCGTTGCGCCGACTGTCCCTCTCGCTGCCAACTCCTGCGACTGCTCCGCTTGGCGCTCATCCTGCTGCCGTGCCCGCCGCTCCGTCTGCGGCCGCCGAGCTGGCGATTGTTGATGGCGGCGTGGCGGCCCAGTCGATGGGGTCCGCCACCACTGACGTCCTAGGCCAGCCGGCGCTTCCCGCCGCTCCGCCTCCCCACTCTGCACCGACTCCGGCGCTGGGGCCTCTTGTGCTTGTGTTGGCGGGCTCTGCTCCTGCGCCGCCTGTGGCTGCACCTCTCGCTCCGCCTGCGGCTGCTCCTCTCATGCCGCCTGAAACTGCTCCTCTTGCACCGCCTGTGGCTGCTCCACCTGCTCCGCCTGTGGCGGGTCTGTCTGCGCCGCCCGTGGCCGTTCTCCTCGCTCCGCCGGTGGCAAATCCCCCGGTGCCGTCTGCACAGCGTCCGCCGTCTCCTGGCCATCGTCAGCAGCGGCCTCAATCCCCCGCGCGTCAGGACGAGCGCGAGACGTCCCGGTGACGCCATAATTCCCCTCGTCGCCGCGGATCCCCGGCGAACTGGGCAGCGCAACGCGGCGGCCGAGGGGGCTGGTGGGGACCGCGTCAGCGGGGTGGCGGCTGGGGGTATGATCAGCCGGTAACGATGGTCGACCTGCAGCGCGCGGTATCTGCCGCTGCCCCGCCTTCCCCGTCCTCTCCCTCTTCGTTCTCGCTATCAGGTGTTGCTTCTTCCCTATAAGAGGGATCCCGCCGCTCGTCCTCCTCATTTGTTGTTTCTAAGTTGGTTGAAGCTACCCTCGCTGCTGCCTGGTAACCATTCTCTGGACCTCCGCCAGCCCCGCTTGCTGTTAGCTGTTCCGTCCCGCGACGTCCCCGCGCTTGAGATGGTGATTGCTGGAGCGCCTGAGCCGTCGCCAGAGCGCGCTGCCGCCTGGTCAGCTGTCGTCGCCAAGCCTCAGTCCCCACCCGAAAAGGCGACCACGGCGTCGAAGCCTCCTGTACTGCCGGCTCCGAAACCCGCGACAACAGACGCTGAAAAGACTCTTCCCCCCGTACCCGCGGCTCCCCTTGGTCTGGGCGAGGCTGGCCCATCTGCTCCTGTTGTTGCTCCGCCCGCCCCGCCTGATGCTCCCGTCCCCCTTGCTCCCGTTGTTGCGCCGACGGCGTTTGCTCCTGCTGGGGGAGCTGCTGATCCCCCTGTTCCTGCCCCTGGCGCACTCGTTGCACCGGCCGCTTCTGTCCCCGACGTGCCTGCGCCGGCGTCTGCTTCTTCCCCGAAGGCGGCGTCCGCCACCACTGTCTGCCCGGCTCCGATGGTTGCGCCTCCGGGCGCGCACGTGATGGCTCCCGCTCCGCTGTCGGCGGTCCCTGTAGGGCAGCCATCTCGTCCCCCGTCGCCGGACCGCCGAAATCCCGGCCCCATTCTCCAGCGCCCCAGCAGGAGCGCGAGACGTCGCGGCGCCGACGCAACTCTCCCCGGCGCTACCAGCAGCAGGCCCAGTGGCCTGCTCACCCCGGTGGCAATGGGGGCTGGAGGGGTCCCCACGGGCGTGGTGGTGGCGGGAGATACCGTCCGCCTGTGACAATGGCGGATCTTCAGCGGGAGGTGTCGAGGGCCGTGCGCGAGGAGAGGGCGGCGCAGAGCCAGAGCAGTTCGCTGCGGGCCGCGCCAGCGCACGTGGCTCCTCGTCAGACTGTGCCTCCTATGGACCCTCCGCCAGCTGCTGCATTTCCTCCTCATGTCCTCGCCCCATCGGCTCCTTCTCCTTCTGTTTTGGCGCCTGCTCCCGGCTCTCGTCTGCATCTGCCACCGGTTCCACCTGTTGCGGGTGTGGAGTTTGTTGTTGTGGGGGGTGGCACTGCGGCTCAGCATTCCCACCACGTTGCTGCTGATGAGCCGCTACTGTTTCTGACGGAGGCGCTGCAGCCTCCGCAGACGTGTGTTCCAGAGGTGACACTTGGCCAGCTCCACCGCCTCGGGGAGAGTCTCCACGCGTTGCTGCTGATTCAAGTGCTCGCGCACTCGTCCCTCCCCGTGATTCCTCCTGAGACTTTCCGCGGCCGCCAGCGTGACACGTGCTTGGACGCGGCAGACCAGCTCGCCGCGTTGCTGGCGCCCGTGTTAGCTGCGCCCGCGGAGGGTGGCGCTGCTGGTGCGGGAGAGCTGGACGAGGCTGTCCGGGGCCTGAAACGGCACTTGCGCGCAGGATCTGGAGCCGCGGTGATCGGCACAAGCACGCTTGTGGTCCGGGAGTTGTGGCGCTCCCTGACGGGCGTTCTTCACGCCCTTGGAGCTCATCGCATGTAGTTGCGGGCTCCGGTTGCCCCATTGATGCCATGCGTGTCTAGTTCAAAGTAGGATCCGCCATTGCATGTATGTCCTTGCTTAGTGTCACACGCTTGTGTTTGCGCTTGCCACACCTCACGCGCGGCCGAAGGCCGCGCCGTCGAGCGGGGGCCTTCGCGAGAGAGAGCTGCAGGAATTTTGCCGCTTGAAATGACTTGGGGGGAGCGTTGAAGTGGTGTCGTGCTGCTGTGTCTGCAAGCAGCTTCAAGAAATACGGGCACCTCGGCACACGGGCAGCCATACGTGTCAACGGCTAGGGGGAAGAATCCCACTGAGTCCGGCCGGTTCGCGTAATGTTGAATCTTCTTATCCGCCTACTCCCTTGCCGCCCACCCTCTGCCCTTCTTCGCCTCCGGGTCCCTGGTGCTAATTGGAACCGTGATGGACACGTCACAGACATAGAACGCCCCCGAGCTTGTGTCCCTCATAGTGAAATCAGCAGTCTGCTCCTCCACTGGGCAATACGCTGCAGACTCGCTGTGGACAATGAAACCAGCGTCCTGGGCCATGCTGATGCAGGCGTCTCTCAACTCGTAGTGCGTGTTGATGCGGTGCTTGCCTGTGCCACATCGGAATAGGTGATTGGGGAGGCGTGGGTCAAGGATGGCGGTGTGTTTGGAGCAGTCACAGTTTGCAGGTGTTGAAAATGGGAGGCCAAGGCAGAATCTGACTGCGTTAGCAAAGTGTTCAGGGGCCACTCGGCGGTTGGGCGCGATGGGTATGGCGGTGATCCAGTCGCCTGCAGCGTATCCCGTCAGTGAGTATAGTGCTGGGTGTGGCCTCATAGCGGGTTCAGGCTCATTTGCCGTGTCCCTTGCACCTGATCCGCGTATCTGCTTCCATGAACGTATAGAGCCAGTGCGTGCTGCAGCCGTATTCCGTTTGGTTCCAACCGTTCCTTCTCGAGCAGCTCACGCGCATCTATGGGCAGGGACGCCTCACTCTCCGCCAGCCAGGTGTGGAGTGGCGTGGCTGTGTCACCTGGCAGCTGCATGTGGTTCCTGACCGATGAGAGGCCGCCTGACTCTGTTAATGCTAGCGAACGCAGTAGGAAGCATGCTTGGGTGAAACTAGCAATGAAGCCGTAGATGCCTTCTATGGTGGGGTCTGCTATGCCGATTCCGCCCAAAGATGGTGGGAGAGAAGCCTGGTTCCACACGCGGAGTTGCTCAGTGTTGCATGTGGGGACACGGATGCCGCATGCTGTTAACAGTGTGGCTAATAGATCCATGCCCCATTGGGACCACGTCTCACGCGGAAGGAGGGTGAGCGGCGTTGTTCTAGAGAGGTAGGCCACACGGCGAGAGATGCAGCGGGTAAGCAGGAGCGACGCTACTTGGGGGTCCGTCTGTTCTAGTAGCGGGAGTGGCTTCGCTAAGTCCTTGAGCTGCTGAGACAGAAACGTGGCGGCACCGTCACTGGTCCCTAAGTAACTTTCTAGAATTCTGGTGCCGTTGTTGTTGAAAGGTATCCCGGGCGGCAGAAATTCATCTACACTACTACGGTCGCTGCTCCATGCTGTGCATAGGGGTGTGCCGTAGTCCTAGGCCTGCCAGCTGTACGGTGAAATGGGCAAATGCTGCGGCAGTCTCTTTCCCCTCACCCATGAAGGTGATATCATCAGCATAAGCGAGGCAAAGAACTCGAGGGTAAGATCTTTCCGTCGCACGCAAGGCAGGGTGAATACCTGCGGCGAAAGGGAGTGGTCCCAGCGGATCCCCTTGGCGGACCCCCCGCTCACTACGTAACGGTGCGCTGTTGAAGCCGGCGTCAACTAATAGCCGTGAGGGTGTTCCGTAAGTGAGCTTGACTAGTGGCAGCAGAGGCTCTAGCGCTGAGTCCTGTAGAGCTGTTACTATGGCTTGCCTAGCGATACTGTTGAAAGCGTTGGAAATGTCAGTCTGTAAGATGAGGCTGTGTGGTTCCGCGTCGATGCATGTTCTTGCTGCATGAATGACAGCTTCTGCTCCGCCTGGCACTGCAACGCCGAATTGGATTGGTAGGAAGAATTCGCGTGCTGCCTTCCCATGACTGTCAGGGCTGACTTTGCCGCGAGGCGTGTTACGCATTCACCAATTGCTATTGGACGGGCCCCACCCTCTGGTTTAGTCAAAGCAATGAGACGGGACGCGGTCAAAAGATCTGCTACTGTTCCCGGCAGATTTCCCCCAATCACGGTGTTGACCAGTGCGTGTAGATGGGTGCAGACCGATGCGTTTGTTACTGACGCATCGCGCATATGTTCAAATGTCATTCCAGATGGTCCAGCACCCACTCCATTTTCGCATCTGGCGAGGAGCTTGACGAATTCCACGTGGGTGATGGATAGGCACGGTGCGTGCGCTGTGGGTGGCCACCAAATCGCCTCGTCAGCGAGCACCTTGGGGCTCGGGGGGCAGAGTGGGGTTGACTCGAGTGCCAGCACTGCTCGACGCAGACTGCCACGCTTCGCCAACCCTTTGGCTCTGTTGATAATTCCGACGTCGTCAGGCTGGTGCCGAGGTGGCAGAGGGGAGTTGACCGCCTCTTTTGCGTCAGCGTACAGCTGCTCCCATTCGCCGCGTTGAAATTTTCGTATACGAGCCTTGATCAGCTTCCAGTCCGGTCGTCTCGGTGAGGCTTGGCGGAGGGACAGGCGCGGTAGAAATAACAACAGCTTCCAACCCGCGACGGATTCTGGATTCCGTGATAGGTGGAGAAGTGGTGTTAGTAGTGTCAGCGAGAACAGCTCGCAGAGTGTGGGGGTAGTCGGCGGGCTAGTGGGGGTTGGCGACTGTCGCAGAGGGCTGCAATGTCCCAATTTTCCGCCGCTGCGAACAGGTCTGTCCGCTTCGCAAGTTCTTCTGGCGAAAAGTAACGCAGGTTGGGGGTCTGGGTCAGAATGTGAGATTGACCCCTAGCGGCTCGACTTCCTCCCCTACGGCTCGACCCTGGGGTTGGATTTGTGGCCATGCGATCACCATCGTATGGTCCCCTTCCGCCTGCACGGTCTTCTGCTGGTGTCCCGTGCTGTGCCCTGGTACCTCCATTCCCGTCATTCCTTCTTTCCCTCTCCTTGTCGTCTCCTTCGCTGCTGCTTAGTACTTGGGCATCTTGCCTATAAGTAGGGTCGTCAATTTCTTCCTGGTCAGTAGCTTCCAACAAGTTAGTTAAAGCACTCCTTCTGACTGCCTGGTAGCCATTCTCCGGATCGCCTCCTATCCCGTCAGCTGCTTGCCTCCCACGGCCACGGCCCCTTCCCCTTCGCGATGGTGATCGCTGGAGCGCCGTACGCCTCGCCAACGCGCGTTGCCTCCGCGTCTGTGGTGTGCGAAAAGCCGCTGCCGGCGATGAAGCCCCCCGTGCCTCCGGCGTCGAGGCCCGCGATAGTAGCCTCTTGAAACCCTCGTCCCCTCGAACTCGGGTCTCAGTCTGCATCGGGTGCTTCCGCAACAGATTCGGCTCCTGCAGTGGCGCCTGTGGAGTCCGCCGAAGCCTCACCTCCGCCTGGTCCGACTGCAACTGCGTCGTTGGCGTCCCTTCCTGTCGAGCCTGTCATTCCGCCTGCTGTGTCGCCCGCTGGGCACGCTCCACCTGCCCCTCTTCTCCCGCCTGTCGTTCCTCCCGCGGTGCATGCTCCCACTGACGACCTTGGTCAGGTAGCACTCCCTGCAGCCCCCGCTCTTCCAACTGCACCGGCACCAGTGCCGCCCCTAACCGTCTTGACGGGTCCTGATCCTGTTCCACTTGCTGCGGTTCCCTCTGCTCAGCGTCCGCCGTCTTTAGAGCACCAGCAGCAGCGGCCTCATTCCCCTGCGCCACGTGACGAGCGGGCAACTTCGAGGCGGCGACACGATTCTCCTCGGCGCCGCGGCTCTCAGGCGAACTGGGGGGCGTCCCGCGGCGGGCGTGGTGGCTGGTGGGGAGGGCGCGGTCGTGGTGGCAGCTGGGTGTATGATCAGCCGATGACAATGGCCGACTTGCAGCGTGCTGTGACTGCTGCCGTGCGCGAGGAACGACGCGGGCAGGCGAGCCAGAGCAACTCGCCGCGCGGCGCTCCAACGCATGCGTCCCTTCCTCTAACTGCGCCCTCTGCTCCGGCGCCTTCTCATCCCCAGGCAGTCGCTCCTCCTCCCCATGCTCCCTCTGCGTCTGCTGCTGCTCTTGGGAACCGTTTGCGCCTGCAGTAGGTTCCTCCTGTCGCGGATGTGGATGTGTCCACGGCAGGAGGTGCGGTGGCGGCGCAGTACCCGTCTCTACCGCCCGTGGCTCCTGCTCCTCCGGCTGCCGCGCTTCCTCCACAGTCGCTGGTTGGGCCGTCTCCTTCTGCCGTGGTGCCAGAGGCGTCCCTGGGGCAGCTTTGGCGCCTCTCGGAGGGTCTGCGCGCTGTTCACCTGATTCAGGTGTATGGTCACGCGGCTCTCTCTCAGGGTGTACCTCTCGACGGTAGCCATCGTGACGAGTGCTTAGATGCTGCTGATCGGCTGGGCGAGCTTCTGGCACCCGTGTTGGCTGCGCCCGCGCGGGGTGGAGTTGCGGGCGTTGGACAGCTCGGGATGGCAGTCCGTGGTCTGCGCCGGTTCTTGCGCGCAGGGACTGCAGTCGACTTGATAGGCGCAACCACCGTGGTGGTGCGCGAGCTTCATCGCTCTTTGACGGGTCTACTTGCCGTCCTTGACGCAGATCAGATGTAGGATCCGCTTGTGCTTGACCCATGTTGTTGCTAGTAGACATGACTCCCAGCCATATGTGTATGCATTGGTGTTATAAAGTGCTGCTGGTTGTGACGCGCTTGCCGTCCCTTCACGCGCGGCCGAAGGCCACGCTGTCGAGCACTGGCCACCTTTGGCGGCCGGCGCGAGCCGCTCGGTTAGGAGAGTAACTGAACCAGAAAACTAAATAATGAGGGAACACGGCCTCCAAGGCCTTTATACTAAGGCTAGGGAGGCTAGGAGCAACTTTCCAGGATTCGCAGTGAGAATGAACCCACCACCAAACAATGGGGATGGGAGTGGGCTCTCTGCCCCTATATATTAGGAGAGTGGGCTGAAGTCAGCCAGGAACAGGGCTACACTAATGCTATGAGTCTACACTAAGAGACTAGGCTAGGGTATCTAAGGAATTAGTAACAAAAAGGGTCTCTCTCTCTCTCTCTCTCTCTCTCTCTCTCTCTCTCTCTCTCTCTCTCTCTCTCTCTCTCTCTCTCTCTCTCTCCTCTCTCTTTGCTGCTCGGTTAGGAGAGCAAACGAACCGGAAACTAGGTGTCTCGCCTTCGCAGCACTTGGTCGGTCACCGTCATGTCAGTGAGCCAGGTTTCACCAAACTCTTTGTCACGGAAGGCCAGGTCCATCCATTTAGGGCAAAAGGGCTGTCGTGTCGTGCAAGGTAGCGAAATCCGCCTCACGTGCCATGCGTAGCACCACGTGCATCAGCACGTTGTGTGTATTGGTGCGTCCTCCATTCACGCATCTCAGCAGGTAATTAGGCGTGCTTCTATCAGCTATCTTGGACCGTTTGCCATGGCAGAGACAGTGCTAAGTGACTGCCAGGGTAAGGCCGAGCCTGAAGCCGAGGGCTATGGCAAGTTGCCCCGGTGAGAATGTGAGGTCTGCTCTCGTAGGGATGGCCAGCCAGTTCCCTGCCCCAGGCGCCCGCCGGGCAAGGAGCCGTACTACATTGCGGTTGTCCTTGCCAAGTTTGTCTACTCTTGTGCCACCTATCAGCTCCGCGGCTCTCTCCAGGTTGACGTGGCGTGATAGTCCCAGCTGCAGCCACCCCTTTCCTCCTCTCTTTGGCAGCTTGCTCTTCAGGTCCTGCAAAGATTCGTCCCCTTGTTCTATCCCCTCACCGCCTTTGGGTGACACCAGGCATGCTGCCCATCTCAGTGGGTGGTTTGGGTGCACTGGGATGCCAGGTAGACCGCCGACACCTCGGCCACGGAATCTATCAGGCCCAGAATCCCTAGGCACACTTGCAGGGTTGCCTATCTGTTATAGTCACAATAGGCTTGAATGTGCCTAAAACGAAAGATAGAGAGCACAGACGGATTTCTGCACAGCGGCTTCAAACGTTGATAGCGTTCTGCTCACAGCTGCAAATGACTTGATTCAAATTGGATCTGGAGCGTCTTCACGTCGTCTACAATTATCAATCTAGATTGCACGATTTGATAAAGAATTGACGACACAGCGTCGGTTTGAACGAACGGTACTATGGCAGCCACTATAGTCTTAGAACACAAGATAGGAAGAGTTACGAGTTGGGAATGACTCCCAGCTCCTACAAACCCCAAGAGCCGAGGTACAGTGATGTGGAACAGTGCCACACTGTCCCCAACCACGAAGGGTCTCGAAACTACCCTTCACTAGGGCCTACACCAAGTGAAATGTTACACTACACAAAGTAATGTAACTATCTTCAATATCTTGAGGTGTACCCTTTTGGCGAGCTTCGAAATCACTTGAGGCTTGACACCAAGGCTCGGGCTCTTCATCACAAACTCATCCTTGAGTTCTTGATGGGTCTGCTGCACACACCTGCGACACGCCGAACGTTCGACACAGGACAAAATAGAAACCGCGCACGACAAAATAGAAACCGCGCGCGAGACACAAACGACCGCGTAACACGCGTCTAGCGATAACTCGCTATTGACTCGACACACACACTCGACATCATGACTCAACATTCACACACAATTATAAGCATGAAATATATATATTATCCCATGCCCTCATACCATTCCATACACACACACATTCACGCACACGGACAACAAGCCGAGTGCAAACCGTAGGGTTGCACCAACACTATCTCCTCTCTCAGCACGTGTAGGTGGGTCGCCTTGAGTGCCATCCACACCAGTCCTTCGCTCCAATCCCGCCATTCCTCTAAGGGCAGCATGTCCACTGGTGTTGTGCGAAACAGGTAGGAATGCGCCTGGATATGCAGCGTGACCGCAATAGTGGAGCGTATTGCGGGTGGATGCTGCTGATAACGGTCTAATGGTGCCGCCACCGAGTCCAGGTATGTTGTGATCATGCGCTTCCCATATTACCTTGTCCCAAACAGGCTCCCCAGGACGCGGATGCCGTCTACTGCTGCCACTAGGCCGTCAGGTAGGTCATCTGGTATGCCTGATGGGCTCCATGCATATGACTTTGCGAGGTTGCACTTGAGGCCGCGGCTGGTAAGGTGCCGCGTGATTATTCCCAAGGTTAGTGCCGCCTCAGGTGCCGCCCCCACGATTGTAATGTCATCCGCGTAGGCCATGACCGTGACAGAAGGGAAGATGTCGGCTGCCACCTGAAGCGTCGGTTAAATAGCTGCTGTAAAAAGCATGGGGCACAATGGCTCTCCTCGGTGGACCTCGTATGTGCTTTTTATGTGTGGTTCCACGAAGCCTTTGTCTAGTAGCAGGCAGGAGGGTGTTAGAGATTAAGGATGGAGTCTATGAAGATTATGGGCCGAAATATCTCAAAATCGTTGGTCCTAATTTCTGGTCAGAAATGTCGACTTCACAAGAAACGTCGTCGACGAAAAACGCACCGTTAAAGTCTCATGAAACTCAAGTATGTTGTAGCCCTAGACCATGGCTACATTTCCCAATTCGAACCACTTCGAAAGGTGAATTAAATCGTGAGACATTAATTTCGGAGCACTAGGGGGTGAGCTGCCATAGAATATTAACTCAATCACAATTGTCTCACAAGGTTCACACAAGTTACCACAAAGAGGATTGTAGTAGCACTAAACCAGGTGGGAGGGAAGAGGAGGACAAGAGGGAAGATTCCAAGGAGTCCCCAACCAAGAAAACCCTATGCCACACAATTTCTTTCTTCATAGGCAACCCAACTTTTACCTTTGTCACTTTCCAACGCATGACATCCACCTCACCCCACTTGGCCACCCTTGCCAACCTGGCTTGGCTTCTCCCAACCAGATGGCAGCATCTACAGTAGGAGTTACGAATTTCCCAACCCCCAAAAGTCTATACCCCTTATAGAGTCAACCCCACAACTTCCCACAGTCGCCGCAATCAAATATGAAAAGCATACGAACTCCAACGTTCGTAACTTTCTTGGTCGGCTCCGATCGCGACGATTTTTTGTTCGTCGGAAAGCTCTTGAGCGGGGGAGTCACTTCAAATATCTGCTCAAGTCAAATAACATTCGCAAACACTCTGAAAATCCATACCAGATCAAACACAAATTCTTGCGCACGCGCACACCACGCATGCAACGCACAAACACTGATAAGGCAGACAGACGTGAATGCGAATGATAGCATCACAACAGAGGGTGTGCCGTAGAGTGTGTGGATTAGAGGTAATATGCGGTTAAGTTTGGAGAAGTGCAAGGACTCAAAGGATCCCGCCCGTTCGATTGAGTTGAAGGCATTTTCTAAATCCAGCTGCAGCGCCTCTCGTTTGGTGCCTTCGGATAGGAGGGCCTTGACTGTGTGAATAATGCATTCTGTTCCTCCATGTATCGCCACGTCGAGCTGCACTGGTAAGAAAAACTCTTTGATGGGCGCGCTTCAGTGCTACATTAGCGGTTATCCGAAGTATGGCTTCCACTGTGGCTATGGGTCTAACACTTTCGTCTGGCTTATCTAGAGCTATAAGCCTAGCAAGAGTTCTGTCAGATCCATCGGCAGGTGTGTACTAAGAACATAGTTGACGACAACGTGCAGGTATGTAAATACCTCGCTGTTGGTGAGAGCAGGGTCCCGTACGTGCTCGAAGCACGTGCTTGATGGTCCAGATATAATTCCGCTGGGGCATTTCACAAGTACCTGGCGAAACTTCAATGGGTCTATGACAGCGACATGTTCAAGGGTTATGGCAGATTATTAGCGCGTTTTGAACACATTAATTCAAGCTACATGGCGTGGCAGCAGATGCACTGCCACATACAGTACGGCAATGTAGCGCAGTACAGGCTGCAGATGGAACAACTGTTTATCATAATTGCAGACCTGACTGAAGGGGAAAAACTACAAGCGTACATTATGGACTGAAAATGGAGATACGATGACAGGTTATCACCGCGAACTACAGTAACTACTGTGACATGGTACGAGCAGCCGAGCGATACAATAAGCTGACGTATGGTCAACTCGAAACACGATGCCACATGCCGAACAGGACTTTCGGCATGGAGCGATTGGCAACCTCCACGTTCGCTGACCCGGTGAACATAAACAAAGTCGATGCAAAGCTGCGGTTGACAAAAATCAAGAAATCCGAATTCAGCAGTGCAGCCAGACATCAAATATTGTCGTGTTACAGAATGAAAAAAGGCACGTGCAAAATTGCTGGGCTACAACAATGCGTATCGCCAGTAGTTGCGGATCGACCTAGGATTGCAAAAAGATCCGAAAAAAAAAAGAAAAAAATGTAACGACGTGGCGACATCGGAGTAGGCGAAAAAAATGAGAACATGATGAGAAGAAACGAGGAATGAAATGACTAAGTGAAAGTTGGGTACAAAAAGCAAACCCTAGACAACTGTACCCCATATGTGCCACCCCACTATAGCCTACAGTAGCTATGTCATATAAATCTGACACACCCCCATAGGCAAAGTGGGGGAGAACAAGGGGTCACAGGACCAGTCAAGAAAAGCAAAACAAGCTCAGGGTGGATCACAAAGTCACCACACATTCCAAGCACAAGTTCAAGGCCACAAGG